ACATCTACTAGGAATCGGAGGAAGAAACAAGTAATTAGGGACCGCTTGGGAAATGAGTAAACATAAGACCTTGGGAAAGAAAAAAGGACACTAATAAGTTATAACAAAAATCTTGCTGCATAGCCTTATTCAGTATATTACACCTAGAAAATAACAATAATATGCCATATAAATAATACATTCTTTGCTTTGATAAAAATATTTTTTATTGTGAATATGGCACTGTTTCAATGGGCATCTATTGCATATTGCAGTTCTTTATAGATACCAGTTACTAAGAGTTACAATATTTTATTATTTTTTGAAAATTAGAATTCAATAGGTAATATTTCCTTTCTTTGCTTAATTGCAAAGCTTGGTACAGTATCTCTGTAAGAAATTGGTTTTAGCAAGGGCTGTATAAATTTCATAAGAATATTATCTGTTTCACTGCGGATTTAGTTGCACACACCAGAAATTGCAATTAGTAGTTTAAGCTTACACGTACTTATTGTCACATATTAGGTCTCTCATGAAATTGTTGGAAGGCCAGAATAGTAGACTACAGCCTGTGCTTCAAGAAATAGCTTTCAGGCGCCAGTGTCACTCTGCCCCTGTAAGGTGGTTAAAGCTTTCACAACCCCTGCAGGAGGGTGTGAAATTTCCTGACGTGTGTTGAGAGCAAACCATGCCACTTCTACCACTATCCTTGCCAGCAAAGCAATGCTTCACATCCTGCTCTCATGCTTCACCGCATTTCATAGCCAAATGCCCTATGAGAGTACCTGATTTGTGGAATCTGAATTAGATCCAGGATCCTGGCTACATGTGAATCAGGGAAAAATGGTGACGAGCATTCCAGAATTTGCAACGCTGGAAGGCATATTTACTGGGAGTTGGAGTTGTCTTTGAAGGAACCATTCCCCACGTTCTGCCCCAATTTACCCATTAGGGAGCTCCACAAACAGACTTCAGAGGCAGCAGAAATGGCAAGAATAACTAACATACTCCTACCTAACATAGTGCAACCATCTCTCCTACAAAAGATGCATTTATCATGTGGTGATGATCATTCTTCCTCTGGTTCAGGTACAATTTCAACCTGATATCTTGTAGCTTATAAATTTAAGTTTTATTGCCACCGCCATGGCATATTGAACAAAGGAAATAAGTGTGTCGTTATCATAGTCCTTTTTCAAAATGTTTAGTGTTTACTTATTTTTGAGAGAGAGACAGAACATGAGTGGGGGAGGAGCAGACAGAGGGAGACACAGAATCCGAAGCAGCCTCCAGACTCTGATCTGTCAGCACAGAGCCTGACGTGGGGCTCAAACACACGAACTGTGAGGTCATGACCTGAGCTGAAGTCGAATGCTCAACCGACTGAGCCACCCAGGTTCCCCATCACAGTCTTTTTAAGTTGTGAAATCGTAGTTTAGGAGTTTCCTTTGACACCGTGTTCTATGACTAGTTTTGTGCTCCAAGTATGTGCCTTTTATAGGAGTTCAGTGTGAGTGGTGCCTGAATAGGGCCCTGGGGCTTGTACATTGCAGAGGCTCTTCTAATCTTACCATGATTATTTATGTCTTCCTCCTTTCACTGACCCCTACAGTTTCCTTTATTTTCATCTAAAAGGTCAACTCAGGTATCTGTGCTTGATAGGGTAAGTCAAAAACATTATCCCTGAAAAGGTTGGGCTTCAGTACTCCTGCCTGTATTAAGTTGATGTAGCTTTCCACCAACTTTAACCTTGGATATAAGATCCCAAAAGATACCCTAAAGAATTCTCTAGAATTCACACATGTCCTTCCCCCCATTATGTAGCAGAAACGCTAACTCCTCTTGATAGTAAGGATCGGTCACCCAAGCCAGTAGAGCAAACTCTTCTCTGACCCTTGGCTCAGAGACTCAAAGAGCCCAAATGACTAGATGGCACTCTTAACTTGCAGCTAAATGGAACAACTATTGTATACCTGGACAGAAACACCACTCCCTTAGACTAGCTCTGTAAACTAAAAGACTTTTAATTAAAAACAAGGGAAAAATGAATGTGAAGGGTCTTTGAGTACAGGTTGGGAGAACTATTTTGTCTACCTCTTGGTTCCCAGACCTATGTATTCCAACTAAAGGTTAATTGATATCATGTATTGTTCTCAACTCAGAGAAATATGTGCATCCTTTAAGAAAGGTTTCAGACCCTATTAGATCTTATTATCTAACTGGTGCTATGACCAATGCTTCACTAATAAATAGTCTTGAAAGCAGTAAGTAGCCACGTGGTAAAAATAAAATAGTATACATTACTCACCAAATCTGTTGAGATAAATTTCAAATGGGTCAGGGTTTTTTTATTTTTTTATTTTTATTATTTTTTTTTTATTTTTTTTTCAACGTGTTTTATTTATTTTTGGGACAGAGAGAGACAGAGCATGAACGGGGGAGGTGCAGAGAGAGAGGGAGACACAGAATCGGAAACAGGCTCCAGGCTCCGAGCCATCAGCCCAGAGCCCGACACGGGGCTCGAACTCACGGACCGCGAGATCGTGACCTGGCTGAAGCCGGACGCTTAACCGACTGCACCACCCAGGCGCCCCAAATGGGTCAGGGTTTTAAAAACAAATATATAAGTATTAAAATAATAATAACAAAGTGAAAGTTTTTACAACTTTTATTAAGAGTAGGGAGAATTTTTCTACCCATAATTTTATCCCCCCTAAAGGAATTAAAGAAAAGATGGATAAATTTGACAATATAGAACCTAAGAAAGGCATTACTACAGGAAATGACATTCTAAGAAAAGTACACAAAAGCAAAAGTAAAAATTGACAAACTGAAAAATATATTTCCATATTGTACAAAAAGATTGAATATTCCTAATGTGTGAAGAGAGTCTACAAAAAAGAAAACAAAATGTGACACAAAAATTTGCAAAGAAAACCCCAATTACCAAGGAAAGATAAAGAAATGCCAAATTTTATGTTATTCCTGCCAGCCTAAAATGGGATAATTATAGCAAAATAAAAATGAATAATTACTGAAATGGATTTTACCCAATCATATATACATAGTCCATGAGAATTTTTTTTTTTTAAGAGAGAAAGTGAGAGAGTGCGAGAGAGGGAGAGGATGAGGGAGAGAGAGACTTTTAAGCAGGTTCCACGTTCAAAACAGAGGTTGATGCAGAGCTCTAACTTATGATCTCCCGATGAGATCATGACCTGAGCAGATGTCAAGAGTTGGATGCTTGTGCTCACTTTGGCAGCGAGTATACTAAAAAAAAAAAAAAAAAAAAAAAAAAAAGTTGGATGCTTAACTGACTGAGCCACCCAGGCACCACCGAAGTCCATGAGTTTTTAATGACACAAAAGATAAAACTTTATTGGCTATCAGTGAACATTTTTGGGAAACCAAATGTGTACTTTTAACCACTATACTATATAGCCACTAATTAATAGAATATTCTCTTTTGTATGGACTTCCAGGAAATCAGAAATAAATTTGCAACTTGACCTTAGCAATTTATCTTCCCTGTGATCCAACTGACTACTTCTATTTGTTTGCATCTGTGGTTTGTAAAACACTTACTTTTTTTTTTTTGCAAGCCACTTTCATTCCTTTATAGAAGAAGATAAGGCCCTATAAAATAATATTTTTCTCAATAAATGTGACTATAGAGCCTCACTGATATAAAGAAAGAAATGAGAGGCTGAACGGCAGAGATTCTGAGGAGAAACCAGAATAAAATTCTTCCTGAATGTAGGATATGATTATTTGTGCCGCAGACTAAGAGATGGGCTGAAGACTGAGGAAAGACAAAATGGAAGGTCAGCTTTGGGAGTTGAAGACAAAGCTCATGTTAGCTACCAATGATGTGTTGTAGTAAGTGGCCAGGGAAAGCCAATCTTCCAAGATGAATGTAATGGAGCCATGACAGATTATATTTAGCCTGAATGTTATTAGATGCAAGCAAAGTAGGAAAGAGGAAATAAATGAATTAGTATCACATTTAGTAGAGACGTAATTCACCACATCACTCTCTGTGTAGGGCAAAACTGATTAATCAGATTTATTTAGTAGTTCCACCCTTTCTTTATCTCTCTCATTCAGTACAGTGGCAATTTATCTACAATTTTCAAAACTGTATTTAATGGAATATACATCAGAAAGGTGATAAAATACATGTTACCTTCAGAAAAGTATATGAAAAACTACTAAAAAGTATTGAAGTTAATGTTGCTAGAAGCCGATAGATATAAATAGGTGACCTATTAATAGGTATAAGTGTTAATGAACCACAAATATTGTAGCAAGCAAAAGGTAATAAAAAAGAAAGTGTTATGTAAGGCTTTTATGAAGAAGACTGAAATTAATTTTCAGTGCAATCTAGGAAAGGAGGTGTAATTTGAATACAGAAGATCAAAGGAGAAGGTAAACATACACCCTGGACCTTAGAATAAAAAAAGAAGAAAATAGGGATGTTAATGCAAGGAGCTCATCAATCACGGAGCTATGATGATTTCTTGAGATTATTGTAGATCTGGAGACATAAAATAGACTCTTGAAAAGATGTAGAGGAGATGTCAATAAGCAGAATGGAAGGGAGAGGATAAAGTAAATGGATTCTATCATGGGATATAATCAACTGTTTAATTTAAATCCCATATGCCCCATTTGATTATGTTGACAAGTGAAAAGCACATTCATCTAAATTTTTAAAGTATTTAGACATTAACCAATATAATATGAGTCATCTAAATGGTACATTGCAAATAAAAATTAGATCAACCATTTAAATTGAAGCAATAAGAAATGACATTAAATTATTCAATGACAAATAACTCTATCCAGTTAAATGTCATACACATTTTTAAGGAATTCACTTGTCAGAAAGATAGCTAACTGCTGAAATGATAAAGAGTATGGTAAATGCAGAAAAGGTCAATTAGTAATCTACTGTTTTTGAAAGCAACATCTTCTGGCATTTATTCTATTATAGTTGTGCTATTCTGTTTTATTTATAGAATGAAGATGGATAACTTTCATGACATATGCATCTCTCAAGCAGACTGAAAAGAAATTATGTTTAATATTTACATTTAATGAAATCATAATACACTGCTAATCAAATTGTTACCTTTTAAATGGCTGGATGGAAAATCAGGGCTAAAACACTTGGAAGGAAAAGAAAATAACTTCTATAATATTTGTGACACAGACCTTAAATTAGCAAATTAAAGAACTCATTGCAATAATATATAGCCCAGTCTGTTTTGAATATTTTTAGCAATTGCCAAACTATTTTTGAATTCACTTATATAAGTTCAGGTTGTAATCACAACTAATTTAAAAGAATCATCCAAAGATAACAAGAATAGTATGCTATGTTATTATCCAGAAGGGACTGAAATAATCCTTTTTTTTAAATGTTTATTTTTGAGGCAGAGAGTGAGTAAGGGAGGGGGGACACAGAATCTGAAGTCGGCTCCAGGCTCAGAGCTGTCAGCACACAGCCTGACGAGGGGCTCGAACTCAAGAATCGTGAGATCATTACCTGAGCCAAAGTCAGATGCTTAACCAACTGAGCCACCCAGTTGCCCCAAGAGAGGACTGAAGTAATTCTAAATGATGGCTTTTTATTTTCAGTGTGAAAAAACCTCCCTGTTCCCACTTTATGACTTTTAGATTGTTAATGAAATTGTTTCTGTTTGACTGAATAATACCCCTTATGGACAGAACATACATTCCAAGACCCCCAGTGGATGCCTGAAACCACTGATAGTACCTGTCAGAAAACACTATGTATATACCACTGAACAATATATATACTATGTTTTTTCCTATACATACACACATGTGATGAAGTTTGCTTTATAAATTGGGCATAGTAAGAGATTAACAATAATAATAATAAAATAGAATAATCATAAAAATAGCACTAATAAAAGTTAAGTGAATATGGTCTCTTTCAAAGTGTCTTATGGTACTTCACTCCCCCTTCTTATTTTTGTCATGATGTGTGATAATAAAATGTCTCCATGATGAGATGAAGCAGGGTAAATGATGTTGGCATTGTGTGGTAACATTAAGCTACTATTGACCTTCTGACAACACATCATAAGTATCATCTCCTTCCTGACCAGGGTTGATGGGGTAACTGAAATTGTGGAAAGGGGAGGACTACTGCATGTAATATGTCAAAAAAGGACTTCACGGATGTGATTAAGACAATGGGATTTGAGATGGGTTGACTTATCTTAGCTATCTGGTGGCCTTAGTCTAATCACAGGAGCCCTTGAAAGTGACACACTTTCCCTGCTGAGATTAGAGAGAGATGCCTCAGAGGAACTGGAGGCAGAAGAGATATAACATTGTGAGAAGTATTCCACCTGTTCTTGCTGGCTTTGAGATATACCATTACCAGGAAGGAGGCCTCTGGGAGTTAAGGTGGGGCTGGGGTGACAGCCAGCAAGTAAACAGGACCTATGCTGCATGCCAACAACTTGAATGAGCCTGGAAACAGATTTTCCCCTTGGATCTCCAGAGAGGAATACAACTCTGGCGAAACCTTGATTTTGGCCTTGTCAGACATGAGCAGAGAGACCAGCTGAGGACATGGGACTTCTGATCTACAAAACTGTGAAAAATAAATTCATGTTGTTTTAAGTGATGAAATGCTGAGTAATTTGGTACAGCAACAGAAAACGAATACAATGTTTTCTCAGCTTTTCTTATGTGAATTTTTATATGAAAATATTTTTCCTACTAGCTGGAGTTTTAAGAGGGTATTGGTACATATGATCTTGGGTTACTTGCTCTAAAATGCCCTCTATTTAATTGTCTATATAACATGATTTTAAAGGAGTTGAATGATAGCATGACAAAATAGAAATAAAAGCTTAAAAACTTTTCAACAACTGATACAACTTGTTAGCTCTGTTAATTATGTTACACAAACTTCTAATCTTCTACTTACCCTTTTATTATTTGGTGACAATGTCTATACAGAATTGAGAGAATCTATATAAAAGTAGCATAACACAGGATTTGAAACATATGTATTTAATAAAGTCAGTTTCCTTATCATCTGCCTTTCTTGGACAAAATTGCCTGCCCTACTTTTCTACACATAACTCCTGATGACTTATTTGGGTTAAGAGACCTTATTTATATATTTATTTATTTTGTGTATGACTTATTTTCTTCTAATAATAAGAATGTCTTTGTTTATTTTTTTTTTATTTATTTTTTTATTTTTTTTTCCAACGTTTATTTATTTTTGGGACAGAGAGAGACAGAGCATGAACGGGGGAGGGGCAGAGAGATAGGGAGACACAGAATCGGAAACAGGCTCCAGGCTCTGAGCCATCAGCCCAGAGCCTGACGCGGGGCTCGAACTCACGGACCGCGAGATCGTGACCTGGCTGAAGTCGGATGCTTAACCGACTGCGCCACCCAGGCACCCCAAGAATGTCTTTGTTTAAATTAATACATAAACAACTCCACAGCCATCACATTGTCATTGTTTGCATTCTTACGGATTTATGTGATGAATATTTTTTTTTTATTTTATGAATTTTTTCTGGGCATATTTTGGTGGAAGTAATGAAAGTTAACAGTGGGAGTGCCTGGGGGGCTCCATCCATTAAGTGAACGTTTCTTGGTTTCCGCTCAGGTCATAATCTCACGGTCCAAGAGTTCGAGCCCTGCATTGGGTTCCGAGCTTCCAGCACAGAGCCTGCTTCAGATCCTCAGTCTCCCTCTTTCTCCTCTCCTCCCCCACTTTCGCACTCTCTCTTCCTCTCTCAAAAATAAATAAAATTTAAAAAAAGAAAGAAAGAAAGTTAACAATAGTTTACTACAGGGAAGTAATACCTAACATTATATCTGGGACAAGCAGTCATAGTTCTGGGAAATCTAGACAGATGGGGCAGAAAGAGAGAAGAGTATTCAGCAAAGGAAAATGAGAAAAGATGATTCAAGGATAACCTTTATTTACTTAGTGATTTTTTCCTTAAGTTTAACCATACCTGAAATTACACATTTCAGGTACTCCATTTTCTTAAGAAACCAAGCAGAACTTGTAATAATTTAAGGTCTTTAGAAATTTGAGAATATTATATATATTTCTCTTTTTATTCCTCTTATGAAGTCATGTTGTAATACTCCTCTATTTCCTTCATATATGTGTAATTCCTGTGGGCATCTATATAGTATGTAATATCAGGAAGTAACAGATGATCAATGTGTGGTTTTATTATCCACTGATGACAAACTTTTTAAATACATTTATTTAGTCTAAACAAAGCAGAAAAATAGGAACAGTAAAGTTTCTACTCTGTCTTGGAAAAATGTAGGCAATTATTTTCATCTAATACTATATAAGCAACTTAAGTATAGATTTCATTTTGGGAGGGAGTGATTTCAACGTTTATCTTTTATTTTATTTTTATTTTCTTATTGCTAAATCAAGCAGTGATTCTCTCCAGTATTTACTTCGTGCTGTGGGAAATAGAAAACAAATGCCAAATATGATTTATGTTTGCTCTAGGATCGAACGGTGACTTTAAAAACTGTCCTGAGTAGATCTAGTGTCCCAGATGTTACAGGTACAGAATGGCCTCTATTAGCCACAGCCCGTGAGTGTCGGAAGCTGAGACCCTTACCTCAACCACATTTTGTATAGAGTAGGTGCGAGACTAAACTTTTTGTTGTTATTGTTAAGCCACCAAGATTTGGGAGTTATATTATCACAGCAGAATTTAGCCTATGCTGACTGATATGAATGAACATTGGTAGGTAGAGTTATGGTCCTATTCCAACAAATTTCTAAATATGTGGTATCTCTGTAGTGGATGGAGAATGGTGTTGGCAAAATGGTGAGTGTGGTACATAGTGACAAAACATCCGGTAAAACTGTCCAGCAGTAACTCAGGGAGTAGATCACGTAACAAGTGGACATTAGTGGTGTGTGTTAGATGCTTTTCACTGCTTTTGTCAAGATTTTACATGAAAAAGATGAGCTCAGGGAAGAATTTCCTGGAATAAGAGAGAACAGAGCAAGAAAGAAAAGGCCTTGAGGGCTGGAAAGGTCAACTGCTTCAGGACTTTAAATAATAGGACATATATTTGAGAACGTAGTTGAGATATGAGAGCCAATTAATTCTGGCCTGGCAGCAAGGATCGAATCAAGTTTATGGCTGTCAAACATTGTTAAAATCTCCTTGGGGATTAATGTGGTGCTGAGTAAATTCTTTCAGTTTAATAAACGGTTGCTTAGTCTTCCAATATTCTACATAGTCCTGTTCAACTCAATTGTGCCTATTAGACCTGCCATGGACAGAATATTTGGATTCCACCAAAATTCATATGTTGAAGTCCTAACCACAATGTAAGGGTATATGGTGATGGGGTCTCTGGGAGATAATCAGGTTTAGATGGAGATCATGAGGTTGGGACCCTCATGTTGAGATCAGTGTCCTGATGAAAAGATATATCAATGCACTCTCTCCCGCGCTCTCTCGGTCTCTCTGCCACATGAAGACACATCAAAAAGGTGATCATCTGAGAGCCAGGAAGAGCTTTCACCAAAACCTGAGCATGTTGTCACTGATTTCAGATTTCCTGCTACTGAAACTGTGAGAAAATGCATTTCTGTTGGGTAAGCCACCCAGTCTATGGTATTTTGATACAGTAGCCCAAACAAAGACAGATCATTAAAAGATTTTCTGTTTTACCATCACCAGAAAATACATGTATAGGTTGTTTTTTGTTTTTTGTTTTTTGTTTTTTGTTTTTTTTTGCATGGAATATATGGTATATACTCTAAAATTCTAAACGTCTCCTTCAGTCTGTATTAGTTTGCTATGGCTGCCTTAACAAATTACCACAAACTTGGTGGCTTGAACAATGAAAACTTACCCTCTCCCAGTTCTGGAGACTAGAAGTCCAAGGCCAAGGTGTCAGCAGAATTGTTTCTTTCTGAGGGGTGTGAAAGAGAATCTTTTCCATGCCTCTCACCTATTTTCTGGTAGTTTGCTGACAGTCTTTGGGATTCATAATCTTTGGCTTCTAGAAGCATCGTCCCAGTATCTGCCTTCATCTTCATCTTCATATAGTATTTTGTGTGTGGGTCTTTGCGTCCACACATATGGGTGGTGTGTGTGTGTGTGTGTGTGTGTGTGTGTGTGTTGAATCATTTTTATTTTGAAAAGTTGAAAAAAAAACAGTTCGGAGAGTTCCTGTGTATTTTTTACT